TTTCATCGCATAGCCCCTTAAACACACTTACACGAGGGTACTAGCCTCAGCATGAACTATCGACAGTCACGAATAAAACCGAGCCAGAGGTATCTTTGTTGTGAACAATAAAGCCAAAACATTAAATATCCCTACAGAATCGAATAACCCTTAAACACCTGCCTCAATCTAAAAACAAAAAGCTCCCACAAACTGTTGAAAAATAAACAAAGAATCACGAAAGAGGTACCCCAGAAAAAAGCAGAATAACCTATTAAATAGCAACCTACCACAAAACGCTCAGAGTAAGGAGAATAGAAATATAATAAAAACAAGACTCTAGTTATGGACGCTTCAGGACAAAACCAAAAAACAAATAAGTATTAGTTATAAACCTCAAGCTCCAGAAAAAAAACTAAAAAAATTAGCCTTTAGTTACCTTTTTGATTTTAAATAGCAACAGGATCAAACAAAACAACCCAAAAAAAGATATCAGCCCACAGTATCAACATTAAAAACACACGATACATCAAATTAAGAGCACACAGCGGGTGTTATTTTACTCACCAAAAGAGTTCATGCTAAAACACAACCCAAGAATCTTAGGGTAAAACTATAAAACCTAAATCGCCTAAAATCCACACTCGACTCACTATTACCAACCCTAATGCCACTACTAGCGTCATACTTACCAACAAAGAAAGAAAAGCAGCATTTGCTGCTTTAAGTTGATTTAAACACAAAAAATAAGACCAAAACATTAAAATTCTCCAAAAGAATTGAAAGATTTAAAAATTTTTCATAGCCACTCCTGCCATGGATCCACTACACCAAAACAAATTTAGTTTACCCCTTGTTCGCATATCAACACGAGGTGTGTACATAGAATAAGACATAAATCGATTTATCACCACTCAACTAAAATAAAAATTGTATCTTCTACACAAAAAATAGACATAATTTATAAAATACTAAGATGCGAAAACAAACACCAGTAAAACAATTCAAAAAACAGCAACATAAAACCAACAGACTTTAGTTATGCTATCTCTAAAAAAACACAAGACACTAGTTTGGAGTCCCAGCGATAATAACAAACTAACCCAATTTTACGAATTCAGCCATAAAAACATTTAAACAAATCTGCTTTTATTTGCAGCTAAATATTTAATAGTTCTTAATCATTTACCATAGTATTCGTGATTTATAGCTTTGGATTTTTGATATACTACAAAACCAGACCTTAGGCTGAAACCTTCAATATTATAAATTCTTAGCAGAAATAGAACTACTGGAGAACTTGGAAAAGGAAGATGACATCCTTGAGATGAAGCGGATCCGAAAATAATATCTAACCCTATTAATCAACCTAGCAATAAGAACTACTTCTATACAATAAAAGGAGACTACGAACATCAAAAGGCACACACCAGCTTGGTCATCATACATTAGAATAAGAACAACTACTATTTTTCTGAGAATTATCTCGTGAGCTGTATCCGATTATATTGAAATATCACATGAATAATAGTTTGAAGGAAAGGACAACTCATTTCGACAACTTGCCAACGCCACATGAAGAATAGAACATAATTGAGTGCTACGCAGCTTACTACATAAAGTGTAAGGGCTGTAAGCAGAAATGCATGGTAAAGACTGGAATTAACATCCTCACAATGGTCAAAGAACACCAGTAAATATGCAGAAATTTGATACAGAAAGATCTGAATCAGCTGAACACATTGCTCTTACTTATCAGATAATTTACTGTAGTTCAGAGGAAATATAATCTGCCTTTGGAAAAATACCAGAAAAGGCAAGATTAGAAA